CCTGCTGAGCAAAGGAGAACAGCAGAAAGAATATTTGTACTGCTTGTTTTCATCATTTAAAGATTTTAATTGAACTTTCTTCTGTTGTCCAGAATTAAATCTCTGATGCTAGAACTAGAAGCAGGATTTTTTTCCCTTCTTTTATTTAAAAAGAAAATAGTTCTGCTGGGTGACTACAATGTTTTTAGCACAGAGGGACTGGCTGATGGAATCTCAGTATAGCACAGAGGTGCTTCTACAATTACTTTCTGGGTTTTGTCAGTCAGTAAAACTGAATATAGAACAGGTCTGAGAGGTATTCTAAGGATTTGTTTGTGAGAATCAGTGTCCAATTAATTTCTTCTATTCTGCAAAGAAATCCTGGAAACCGATTAAACGTCGGGGCTTTTTATTATTATTTTAATCCTAGTGTGCCGAGGTCGCTGGCTGGCTGACTCACCAGATGGAGCTGTAGGCTTGTTATTCTTCACTAGATCGTCGTCATTCTCTCCCGGAACAATGCTATTGTGAGGATCTAATGTATTCTTGTCTTAGCACTGCAAAAGACAAACCACCAGAATGATTTATCAGTGCATTTGTTGGTCTCTGGAGGGAGAAGACTAAGATTCCATTTATTCTTGGCTACTTGAAAGACATCACAGCATAGCATTCAGACCGATACTCAGAAAGTAGTAGTATGTTGGCAGAATTGTGAGACAGAAGAAGGTTGTTTGAGCAAGGGTGGTTTAGCAGCATCTTGGAAAAAGAACCGTTTGAGAAGCAAACAAATTGTTCTTGAGCATGTCAGAACTGAACTCATGGGCAGTGTGTAAATGATGAGCCCTTGTCCACAGAGAAGCTTAAAGTGCCCAGGTGTGGGCAGAGCAGGGTGGGCACCAGAAGTTACAAGTGACAGGACTGATTAACTCATTTCAGAAGCTGGTTTACACGTGCAAGCCCCCGTAGTGCAGCGTTGCAGTGCAAGCTCATTGGGACAGAAATCTTGAGCCCAGAAAGCAGCAGCAGTGGATTCAGGCTGAGTATATAATGCCAATTTACTCCTTATTCCCACTGCCCTATTAAGTCTTGATTCCTTCTTAGCATGGCTAAGGGGGGTGTTTTTTCAGGCCTACACTGGCATGATAGCTTTTGGAAATATTCTCTAGGCAGACATTACATGAAAATAAATGAACAGAAACTGAGCTTTGCTGGATACCTACAGCTCTGAAGGGAATTTTCTGGAGAGAAAAACAATCTTGTAAAAAGAAAACAGTATGTTGTACCCCACCATAAAAACAGAGTGATTTCTGAGATGGTAAGGATGCACAAGATGTGGTCTGGAGGAAAGGAGGAAAGGGAACAGACAGTAAGGGCACACGGTTGTATGCAACAGAACACACGATTGCTTTTAGATAGTCTTTGGGACACTTGGAAAGGAGGGCTTTTCTGAGAATGCTACTCTCTATAATTTTGGGCAGAGAGAAAGTATGTCACAATATATTTCAGACACTATAAGGAAAGGACCGTTGTGCAGAGCAGGTGTGCTTCAAGCTCATCAAACAAGTGCATCTGCCACATGTGTGTCTCTGCATGTGTAAGGCTGAAGAGGTGAAGTGTCCCCAGGTCATTGCTGTTGCTTAAATCTGTGATCATCAGGGTCACACCAAGGGAGACTACACCTCCACTTTAAGTTTGGTGACACCTGTTCTCCATGCCAGGTCAGGGGACCTGTCAGCCTTAGGTAATGACTCCTACAGCAGTAAGGCAAATTCAGACAGTGAATCACTTTTCAATCTCTTCTACATTAAATATTTTCATGAGGATGTATGCAACAAACATTGCAGTAACACACATGGGTGTCCCTCTACTGCTTTAAGCAAACATTTTGCCTTCAGTAGCTATGATGAGCTCAATACAGTATCTAACCTTACTAAAAGCTGAGATGCTTTCTGATTAATGTATTTAGCCTGACATAATCTGCAAATAACTTGAAAGTGTGAGTGGTCTTGAGGCAAACAAATGATGCAGCTATCGCCACTATAATCTTATTTGTGCAAGGAAGAGGAACACCACAGATGAGATTTTAAAACATGACACATGAATAGCTCTTGGGCATAGGCACCCTAGACCTAAGGTCATCACTTTTCTCTTTCTGTTGGTTTCATCATGACTGAAATGAGTCTGGTCGTGTTCTTGTGTTTAAAATAAGCAAATGTAAGTCAGATGTTCAATACTTGCACAGGATGTCAGCAGAAGTAATAGCAAGCTTAAAGCAAATGCAAATATTTGGGTGTTTGGGGTTTTTTAAGTGATACAAATGTGAGAAAGCACATCAAAAAGCATGATGTACACCAGCCAGGCTGTTTACTCGAACATATTCTAAGTAGACTGTTTTTCAAGGAAAACTAAACTAAACAACTCCTGTTTAGAAAAGAAGCTCTTTCTTTCTGTTTCTTTAAGTACATTTGTGAAACAAAATGTAGAGCTCCTTGTTTTGTAAAGGGAGCAGAACAGCTACCCCCCGAATCGTTTGCCTGCGGGGACTGAAGCATAACTACTGAGCTACAGTTTCTGGATTTGCTTACTTTGTACTGTGGGTGGGGGGAGGAAGAATGACAGTAAAAATAAAAATATAAAGTCTGAAAAACCTTTGGAAAAGACAATAGCCGAAGATTCAAATATGGAGGTAGAAGCAGGTTTTAATGATACCCTTGTTAGAAAAAAACTGCAGAAAGACTCGTCAGGTTGCAATTCATCCTACTCTTGTCAATCACCACTGTTGCCAGGCACAAAAATGAAGCACATATGAGAAGTTTTCACATACAAGTTGTAGAATATTGTCACTAACCCACCCCCACACACCCATTTTATTTCACACTGACAAAAGCTGGGATGAATGAGTTGTTGTCTGGCCCTTCCCACTTCGTATAGTCATTGGCTGGCTTGGTTCTAAAAAGGATTTTAAAAAGGGGAATAATGTGCCTTTGGGATCTGAGACTGTCAGGGTGCTGAAAAGCTAATCTGTGAGCTGCCACCATGCAGATCTCCTGGGCTGTGTGCTCTGTCTGTGTCCTCATACAAATTGCATTTCAATCTGTGGAAGGGTGGCAAATGTTTAAAAATGATGCTACAGAAATAATTCCTGAGATCACTGAAAATACAGAAACGCCGATGGAGCAGACTTTCAGCAACAACAACACAATGAACCAGGCAAAGCACGGAGGAAGACACATACAACAAGCTCCAGACCCTAACGGTAAGAAAAAGAACATCATGATTACTGGTTTGGACCCTAACAGACAGTTTGTAAAAGAATACTTGTTATTGTTTATTGAAACCTGTAAGTGTGGACCTAGTGCTGTAAGTGATAGGGAGTTACATCTACAGTTGAAGAAGTATCAGTGTAAATATTGAAAAGGGTGTTCTGGAGTTTACTGATGAATAATGTGCTCTATCTACTGAACAATCCCTAGGTACTGCAGTACGCATTCCTATTCTGCCCAGCTGCTTTCTGCAGACACAAGTCCAATCCATAAAACCTGTAGAAGATATTACTTAAATATCTCAGTGTTTTGTGTTGCAAGCACTGGGGGAAAATAGCACAAGTCATCTTTCTCCCTTTGATGTTAGGATGGGGCAATGGGTTGACAGTGGAGATAGTGATATAAATTCTTAGTATTTAGAAAGAGTCACACTCGTGATGTCTAAGATCACACGGCAAAAATGGCACATGGAGGCTGCGTTCAGCTACGTACGCGTGCTGCTCGCCGACCTTTGCCAGCAGCCAGATTTTCAGCCGGATTCCAGCAGGCAAAAAAAGCTGTTGTCAACAGTTAAAGCACTCCCAGAGTAAACTCATGCCCAAATGAATCGGAGGGGACTTTATTTTGCAGAGATGTGCAATCTTGGAATCAGTTTGGTTTCTTTAACAGCACTGACATTCTCCATAGAGTATTGTCACTGCATTGGCCAGGTGTCTAACATTAGCAGTGACTCAAAACACCAGCTCTGTGAGGAGAAAGAGAAGATGGGGAGTTAGCACCAAGCAACAGAGACAAGTAGTGTTAAAGAAGTGATCTGCTGGCAAACAGGGTGAGCTCGGTCCTCCAGACTGACAGATTTAGCTACCAAATGCACACAGCAACAAATTAAATGTACAGTTTCCACAGTTGTGCACTGCAGCTCTGAGCTAGCCTTCCTTTTAGGCTGGATTTGATGATCTCGGAGGTCTTTTCCAGCCTCAATAATTCTGTGATTCTTCTGGGGACTACTGGAAGGGAACTGTGTTTTTCTGTGCAGCTGTCAGTTAAGGTGTTTAAAAGAACAGCGTTAAGAAGATTTTAAAATAAAAAAAAGAAGTAATGTTTCTGAGACTGCAACTTTTTTGCATCCCTAAAAGGGGGAGCATTCTGCTCCAGATCAAGGCCAGTTGGTTTTGTTGTTACATCTGAATATCTACATTTTTTAGCCTCTTACTACTCTGACATCAATTGGGGGGTACCTGCCCCATTGATATATGCATATGTTTTGAAGTAGAAAACACATTCACTTAAGAAAGAGATAGCAAAGGAGACTGGACAGTTATTCAAGATACGTAATGGTCTTGCATACTTATTTTAACGTCTGTAACACAAGGAATCAAACTGATGATCCAAAGTGGCCAGACCTCCCTGGCGCACGATGTTGCACCAGACCACGTTGCAGCATGTGAAACCTGCACACATAGAGGACAGGACATATATGCACAGAAAAAAACCTAGATAGCTGAGGCAAATACCTCTATATTTAACAGTATCTGCCTATGTGCTATGGTAGTACAATAGACCTGATTCAAAGCACTGTTTTTTTATATAGACATACATAATTTTCTTAAATCCTTAGGGAACTTAGGAGGATTAGACTACGAGCACATGGAGTTCAGCTGGCAGCGTTGTTGTCTCAGCTTTATGACAAGGATTGTTTCATTAATGCAGTCCTTAAAACTTTTTAAAAACGAAATCTTTCTTGCCGTACTTTGATAAATATAAACCTGAGTACTGAAAATCGTGTTTCTGTACTTCACAAACAGAATTTTACAAAATGTCTGTACAGATACAATTTTATCACTAATTGCTCAGGGTCAGAATTTTCTTTCAATGTTCTAAAGAGGGAACCACCTTGTGCACAGCAAGGAGAGTGGGCCCGGCAGACAGAGCCTTCTGTCTGTGAGCTGATCTTTGAGAATTTCCACCGTAAGCAGTGGTTGTGAGTTGAAACTCTCCTCTTGACTAAGAGAAGAGCATTAACATGTGTTTATCTAGATGAAGTTCTTTGATAAACACCTTCAAAAGCCAAATTCTGTGTCTTCCAAACAAGACAGTTAGCCAAGCATGGCACTTGACAAGAGAAACCCCTTCAGAAAAAAAGTCTGTTCCTACAAATGCAAAGTTTTTCCAAATTCTTAGTGCTAAAAAAATCTTGTATTTCCTAATGTTTCATTTGCCTATAGCTATCCATGGAGAAAAAGGGGAGGGGGGGAACACTGTGACGTTCCTAATTGGCCAGGAGATGCCTCTAGCTGTCTGAAGGAAATTGTGTGGGACATGTGGGATTATCACAGAGAGCAGAAAAGTTGGAAAGCCTAATGCCTGAAGAGTGGGAATTCCTTAGCACTGTTGTTACCCGCTAAGTTCCCTAACCTGGAAGACATGATGCTTATTAAAAAAATCACTTAAGGAACACTTTCTTTGCTGCACAAGAATTTAAATCTGGATTCAACCCCTGAAGTCAGTAGACTTAAACCAGAGCAATGAGGGAGAGGTTTTGCCCACAGGTAAATGAAGCCAGGAGAGTCCCATCAAAATTTCACTTACGCTTCAGAAGCTCCATTGCCCACCTGCCCAACCCTGACATGGAATTCACCCAGTGGCAACAGGGGGGTTTTATTTGTCAATTTGTACGTTGTTACTCAAGGGTCTCATAACTAGAGCAGCCAAATATTCAGAAGCTGCTCAAGTGGGTCTGTGGAGATACTCTTCCCAAAATCTGCTGTCCAGCTTGTTTCTAGCTCAGAGATAGATATCCACTACAGAAACAAAAAAGTGCTTTCTCAAGGATGGGGAAGGAAGGGGTCACTAATGAACGTGTCTCTTGCTTGCAGATGCTTCCGACTTTAGCTGTAGAGAAATGCGAACCACCCGCTATGTGACAGAGGGGCCTTGCCGCAGCATCAAGCCCGTCAAGGAGCTGGTCTGCTCTGGTCAGTGCGTCCCCTCACACCTCCTCCCCAACTCCATCGGTAGAGGGAAGTGGTGGCGTCAGAATGCCCTGGATTATCGCTGCATCCCTGCTCACACTCGCACGCAGCGCATCCAGATGGCTTGTCCCGAGGAAGAGACTCGGACTTACAAATTCCGAGCTGTCACGTCCTGCAAGTGCAAGCGCTACACTCGCTACCACAACCAGTCTGAGCTGAAGGACTTCGGAAAGGAAACTGTCAGGCCTCAGAAGAACAAGAAGCCCCGTCTCTCCAGAGCCAGGAGCAGCAAATCTAACCAGCATGAGTTAGAAAATGCCTATTAGAAGGTGGCTCTGAGTGATACAGCCTAGCAGCCCTGGATATTTTACAAAACATCAAATGGCACTCACAGGCCTCAGCGTGACGTTTTGACTGCAGTAGGTTCCAATTCCTTCTGCTAAGCTGGGTCAAAGGCTCACATAGTCAAAAATCTATCAGATTATAGCAGTTATGGTCTGATAAGAGAATGAGATAAATCGAGCTGGAGGTAGCAACACCTAAATTCAGTCTGAGAGGAGAGGTACACCTTGGAGATGCAGGTGAGGTCATGTGGCTTGTACAAGTAGGAAGGCGGAGGAAAGTGAAGCTGTTTTGGTGACAATCACGCTTTGTTAGAAGTCATTCTACTCACTTTCTGTGAAAAGAACACCGAGATCCCTTTCCCACTTTTCTAAGTGCCATGATGCAGGATAAGCATGCGATTAGGGAAGCACCAGGAGAGTTACTGCTCTCTGAATGAGCTGTAGAAAGTTAGCGATAACAGGGATGTCAACAGTTATGGTGACTGAAGTGAAACTGTTGGGAAATTAATGTCAGATGTCCTTACGCCCCAGTTGTTTCCTCTAAAGCACCAAAATCAAAATATGACGCTAGTGTTCTCAAAACAAAAGTGATTAATCTAGTCCATGCTTTTAATTAAAAGACTAGGATCAACAGATTCAAAACTGAGATTTGACAACTAAAACCGTATTTGTTTTAGGGACAATTAAACAAATTCTACCAAGTGGAGCGGATTTATGAAATGGATGCTCCTCTCAAACCAGATAACCTCACTGTTTTTCCTGTAAACAGCTAACCATGTGCCTAATTTAACAAAACAAGATACTGATTATTCCTTATTTCCTGGAACACAATTGACTTTAGGATCATCTTAGATATATCAATTTACATTTTCTAATCTGTAGTTTGGATTTTCTGGCCACACACTTCATAGCACTAAGACTGTGCAAGCCAAGTTCTGGGAGTAAGGTGCTGGTTCTGCATTAAAAGTGAGCCTCTGCTAGTTTTAAAGTCATTAGTTCCTCTAGAAAAGTCTTTGGTATGTGCAACTTTGGTAAGTCTTTAGTTAGGCAGCAACTTTCCTTTACTTAGCTTCTCAACATTCAGACTAATGTTTGTGGTTTTGCATTAAAGAATATTATTAGAAGTGAATCGTCACATGCTGTGTATTTACTGTAGAAGTGGTAAGCCTAGTATCAGATGAACACAGTTTGGGATGAAAAGAGTTCCTTACTGTTCTTATTTTCTATGTAGAATTTATGCTGAAATCATATAAACTATGGAAATCTGTGATGTTGATAGATTTTGCAATTTTATGTGAGACCAGAACCTAGAGAGAAAAAGTATTGTTTCAGAGAGTGAATACCGTATTTATTTTTTCTCAGAAATTATTTATGCAATGTTTTTCTTTGTAGAGAATCAGAAGTAATACTGCTTTAAAAATATTAGTCTGTTCTTTTTAATTTTAAATACATTGTTAATAAAGTAGAAATGATGATTAATTATAGGAAGACTCATTGATTTTCAGCTGAAGTATAAAGCTGATGCGCTGCAAAGCCAGTGAATTACAGAACAGTCAGGGTGTTGACTCTTATTTCTGTCATAGAGGGTGTCAGGGTCCTTAATTCTCGATCAATAACTCGCACACCTCTAAAGAAACTCCAACCTGGAACTTCTTGCTCCAGAGCCTGACACTTCTCATGGATAAAGTCTTCCTGGGCAAATGTGGAGCTCAGAATTGTTTCAGTATTCTCATTTCCACTTCCCCTGGGGAAGAAACTCAGCCAGTTTCAGTTTCCCTCCTACTCCCAGTGATGTTTCCTGATTCGTGTGTTCACAACCTGACAAAGCCACCAAAGCAAACAAGAAGTCTGTGAGCTGTCGATCAAGATTTCTTGGTCAAATCTGATTGCTTCAGATTTCTCTCATTGAAAAAACAAGAAGCGTGGAATCCCCTCACAGGCGCTGCCAAGCAGCAGTTAAACTTTGTAACAATTTCACATTGTAGGCCTATGCCCATTTTCATTTATAAGGCCATGTTCTTTAAGAAACAAAGACATTTTCCAGTTAAGTTAGGGAAAACTGAGCTTGGGCTGCACGTAGCGTGCAGATCTTTCACTATGGCTGTAAAGATGAACAGCTTTTTCAAGACAGCCAGGAGATGTGTGCCCTACTATTATTTGATACCTCCTATAAAAACCTAATACAAACAGTTGTCATGCCTGTGTCAACGTTTTCCAGATTTAACTTTGACTTTATGAAGTGGGCACAAGGACCTTAATTTTCAGCAATCAGCACCTGCTGGTGCTTCACAGGTAAGAAAAGCAGTTCAGTTCCTCTGAAACGCTATTCCACAGTCTCACTGGCATCTAAAGTTCCTGGAATATTGGTTTTAAAATGCTGACTGTGATAAGCCAGTGGAAGAGACTTACTCCATTTCATCTGAGACTTCATGTACCAAGTTCAGAAGTACAGGGCCTGCTGCAGGTGAATCAGTATCATCTTTATCCCAAACGTTTCACCTTAAAGACACCTTCTTCCAAAAAAAATCCCAGTCCTCCCACACAGTTCTCTTCTACCAAAAGCCCAAAAGTTTCCTGCTGTTAAGAGAAATTTTGAGAGGGACTTACTGGTCTAATAATCTATCTCAGTATCCACTGAAAGCATTATTTATGACATGGGACAGGCTGTACAAAGGAGACGCCATCTCTAACTGGGGGTTTGAGAATGAGTTTCTGCAGGAAATTTCCGTTTCTTTCACACCAAATATGTACACTGCCAGTTCTTTCCAAAGAGAAAAGCTTGATACTGTACACAGCAGAAATGGGAAATGGAGCAACTTTCTAGGCTGTCGTTACATCAGTGAAACATTCTGGACACAAGACATACACCAGACAGGTTCTTCCAGAGTAACAAATGCTTTGCACGCAGGCCTGCTGTGTGGTCCTTTTACAGAAGCATTAAATAGTTCTACTCTAGGCAAGAGTGAATTTCTTCATTGTAATTTTTGCCATAAAATAGCACAATGGTACATAATTTAGGTGCTGCTGAACTATAAGTAGTAACAGGTCGCTGCAATTACCATCACTTGGCTGCAGACAACAGCTGCCAGCCAGCAACTGTCAAAATGGGTAGTCCACAGAAAAGCAGGCGAGTTGCTTTTTTCAGACAGGATTCATGATTTCGCCAAATCAGCTTTGAACATTCATTTGCCCCCCATTTTTATTTCCAACTTGTGTAGGCAACAAACCATGGTGTGTTCTCTGCAGTATAGTCACTGAGTTAAAATAGTCAGTGTGCCTTCTTTCTTTCTTTTTCTGGCAAAAATACAATTCTGCTATTATTCAGTGAAAAAGAAACTCACAGGCAGCACAAACAGCCTGCTGGTATCCACAAAGTCCCAAAGATTTTGCATAAGGTTCGACTTTTTAATTACATACTGCACAATAAAGAACATAACTTTATCCAGTGAGGCCCTAGGCCCAGAAAACACATCATGCGTGTGATCTGCAAATGTGGCTGAAAATGTCAGCGTCATGAAATACAGAAAGAATAAACATGTAATTTTTGGGGGCCATGTGACATCAACTTATAATTAGCTTGTTTCACCCAAATTAGTGCAGTACATGGGTGCACAGAACAACTTTTCTATAGTAAACAGGCTCAAAAGTCTTAAATTAACATAGATCATAGTTATATGTAGCTTGAGTTTGGATTGAACATACTGTGCAGCTGTAACCTTAAATCTGAATAAAGTGAAACTCCCCTTGGTAGGCAAGTAATCGAATTCCACCTGTAAAATAACTCACAGTTTAAAATGAAGCCAGTACAAGTTGCGGAACTTTCAACAAATGCAGCTGCTGTTATTCAGTGACACAAAACGGTGCAACTGCTTCCCTTTCAGTCTTGGAGCCATCACAGAGTTATTTTCCAGTAATACACAAAGGGATGGACGTGTCCCTTCTGTTTCCAGAAGTGCAGGAACAGTTTTTACACTGAATGCTGCAGTTGTAACATCAAGCTGCAGTGATGCCCTGTTGTCTTTTCATTAAATTGGGAATATGGTGGTTTTTGTATTTCTTGAAGCCCAGATGAATTTTATTCTCACTAGAGGATAATAAACTTACTGTGCCTGAAGCCCAAAGGGAAGGAAGTAATGCTCATCCTTCTGTCTCCATGACCCATTCCTGACACTGTATCACAAGCTGTTTCTTTCAATCCTAAAAGTGCTCACTGCTCTCTTATGAGGACAAGTTATTACTGGGAAGAGAGGATAATAAAACTAATCAGTAAAACCTGAGTAGAAGTAAGACTCATCAGCAGAAGCCCTGCTAATTCTGAAATAAAAGGATACGAAACACAAATATAATCTTCAAAACATTATCTCAGCTCTACCACACCACAACCTATGGCTAAATTAAGTGCTTCCAGGGAGGGGGCATCCACAGCTTCCCTGGGCAACCTGTTCCCATGTCTCACCACCTTCACAGTAAAGAATTTTCTCCTAATATCTAACCTAAATCTCTCAGTTCGGTCTAAAACAATTGCCCCCCTTCCTATCACGACACTACCTGATAAAGAGCCTCTCCCCATCTTTCCTGTAGGCCCCCTTTAAGTACTGGAAGGCCACTCTAAGGTGTCCCCAAAGCCTTCTCCAGACTGGAGGACCCCAGCTCCCTCAGCCTGCCCTCACAGGGGAGGTGCTCCAGCCCCCTGAGCATCTTCGTGGCCTTCTCTGGATCTACTCAAGGAGGTCCATGTCTTTCTTACGCTGGGTGCCCACACAGCCCTGCAGGTGGGGTCGCAGGAGCGCGGAGCAGAGGGGTAGAATCCCCTCTCTTACTCCGCGGGCTGTGTTTCGCTTGAGGCAGCCCAGGATGTGGTCTGGCCTTCTGGGCTGCAAGCACACTTTGTCGGCTCGTGTTCAGTTTTCCATCCACCAGTATTCCCAAATCCTCCCCCACAGGGCTGCTCGCAACGCGCTCATGGCCCAGCCTGTACCTGT